TTAGATAATTTAGAGTAAACAGAGCTGTAACTTGAGTTTCATGAGAAGAGAAGTAAAAATTATAAGCAACTTGAATCACCAGGTAAGGAGACCCTACCAATGTTTTCTCCCATTTTTAGCTCCTTCCAGATCCTGTTTTCTCTTTATTCACAGTTGCAGTAATGATGATGATAATACATGTCCAGTATTTTTTATAACACATACAATCACATCTAAAAATATCAGTAATATTTTGGGTTCTTTTTCACTTACCTGTTGGTGCTTCAGGACTAAGTACTTGCTTACTGTTTACCATAGTAAATGTTTATATATGTACTTGCAGAAGATGCACACCAAAAAGATAACAATGTCTGCATGCAACTTATAAAATAAATTTGTCAACTGGCAACAATGATGTATTTGAGTAAAACTTAGTTTTTTATATTTTTTTCTTTCAGTGAAGGTGTTTCTTTGATTGCTTAATAGCTTGAAACTTATTATAGTAAAATAACGGACTATATGTTTTTCAGTTATATAGTAATATACCTTGCATATTATTTTTGTGGTATTAGATCATTCAGCACACACCTGTATATTAAAAATTATGTTTCATGTTATAGATATTTTACACATGACTGAGTGCAGCATTAAATTTTTAGCATCTTATAATTCTGTAATTTCAAATAAATTTTTATTTTACAATACGTTATTTATTCCTCCTTACTGAATGAAGACAGAAAGTTTGTATAGGTCTGAATCTTTAATTAGATGCATTCAGAAGTGAAGAATAGAATTTTGCCTTCTTCATAAGCCAAGAAGCAGACATAATGGGATTTGAAACTACAAATTCAAGTAGCAGAAAGCAAGTTCTTAAATGATAATGCCAATATTTTATTTATTTTTTCTCAATGAAAATGGCACAATAGCCACAAATGCATGCCCTTTTCGTGATGCCAGTATGAACTCTTGTTCCTCTCCTCTAACCATCACAAGGCTGCTGAGATGATTGGAGAAGTGCATCATCTTGATTTGTGAGTATGACTGCATATGTCTGTCAGAAAAAAATGAGAATACCCTGCCAACAAACATGAACTAGACAAAGGAGTACAAATCTGCTACACTGTAAAACAATACTTTCAGTTAGTTAGCAACTACATGTTTAATCAAAATTCATATCTTTGATATGTTGCTTTTAGTTTATTCTGTGCTTCACCTATGGCTGCATTATGCTGTATGGAATATGTATTTCTTGGCTGAGGACATGAAATATACATAAATTATTTTGCTAGATTATTTAGTTCCACTACTAAATATTTGCATTGTATTGTGAATTAATTTAATATATAATCATACTGAATGAATTGTAGGTTTTAAACTGTGCTGAAGTTGTTTTAATAACATATTTTTAGTGGATTTCACATTATAGAATTTTTGATGAAAAAATAAAACATGTTACATGTAATTATAAATAGGAGTTCTACAGACATTTTCTGAATTATTTTATATACCTTGGACTCGAGGTTCAGTTGCCATATTTCTAAGTAGAGTACGTGTATTTTTTGGAATCAGTAATAATTTTACAGAAGTGTTTTTTCCAGTCATACAAACTGAAACATTTTCTTTTATGTGATATTCTTATATTATGAACTGTAACATGTTAGAGGGGTAAGGCATAACATTGATGTTTTATTTCATTTATTTGTTTATTTTTTTAAATTTCAAGGACTTTGAACTTGTTAGGTGGTATAAATGGTTAGTGTATAGTTTTCCAGTATTAGAAAACTGAAATAAATTAAATATATGTGTATGTGTAAATATGAAGTATGCAGTGGAAACATGTAAATAATATAATATATCTTTTTAGTTTATTTCTTTTTACATACGTGAAAAGCCACACTAATTATACTTGTCAGACTTGAATCTGTGGGTCCAATTGTTTGGCTGGTGTTCTCATTCCATTTATTTGTAGAGGCTTATATCCCTTATTCCCTCTCACTTGCTCTTGAAGTTCAGCCTTTAAATTGATTTAACAATAACAACCCATCTTCTGCTGACTATTTTGCTTGTTAAGAAAACACAAATGTTTATTTGTGTTATTATTTTGTTGGTTGTATATTTTCGTACCTGCAGAAGGTGGCACTAGAAACCGTAGCTCCCCTAGCAGCAAGAGTATTCAGCGGTCACAAGAAGTGGTTCCACCACTGCGATGCCACAACCACCCCTTCGTTGCACCCTCCTCAAGCCACCGCCTACCCTCTAAACACTCCACCACTGGTGAGGTTGGTGCAAGCAGTCTCAACAGCATTTCTAGTTCAGAGGGATCCACGTAAGTAACTCAGTCATGGTGGCACATCAGGAAAAATAATTCAAGACAAAATCCAGAGAAAATGAGAGATGGAAAAAAGAACCGAATTTAAATTGAAACATGACTTTTAAATTGCAAGCGTGGATCCTCAATAATTGGCATTTAAGATTTTTATGCACTTAATAGAACATAATTATCACTTCCCTTAAATTATTTCTCTTGGGCATTACAAGAAATGTAAAGTACATAATATAGTAACTGGGTGTTCAAGATTGACAACTCCTGTACTTTCATTAGTCAGTTTCTTGTGGCAAAAGAAACTTATAAATCCCAACTCAGTTTTACATATCACAGACAATCTTCTGTTCTCTTTCAAATCCTTAGGAATGATAGTGGCTGGTGTGAGCTTTGTTGCAAAAAATCAGTTCACCACCACACTTAGAAAATTAAGAAATTAAGTTTTTGTGACAGACTCTTTTGAGCAGTTTACATCCATGTGATACAATGCATTATCTTCATATATGAATGAACTTGAATCCCATCTTGTCAATGAGAATTCAAATTTGATTCAACTTAAAAGAAAACTTACTTACTGTTATTAATTTTGTTTGTAACAGTTGTGTTGAATTTGTTTATTTGTGCTGTAGTATTTTAGTTTGTGTCCAGTTTTGAATAAACAAAGTTTGATGTCTGAATATGAGTTGACTGTAATAACTGTACAAAAGAGTTACTATTTTTGAGATAGTAAGTTTTCCATTGGTTTAAAATCAGTAAAAATCAGTTTAATATTTTTTATTAAGTATTTTGACCTTTGATTAATGTTCAAATTACACTTTTAATTAAGAACCTTATTTTAATAATCATTTAAAACTTGGTATTATAAATTGAATTAGACCATTTAATAAATAATATGTTAAAGGCAAATTGCATGCGATGTTGACTCCTTACAACAGAGGTTTCTAAATGACTTTAATTGATTATTCAGGGGTTTGTTAATGACACAGTTCAATAAGAACTGCTGATGCTATGAAGTTTCAAATGAGATGGTGAATTATCTTAAAGGACTGGAAAGGAAAATTGGGGCATTTCCATTTCCTAATTTCCTAAATATAAATAACTGATTTTGCATAGTCTTACAAAATATACCTGTTAAAAGCATTGAGTTTTTAATATTACATTTTCTGTATTCTAAAGATAATTTCAAATTTAGTCAGTTCATGAATATAGAGATATCACATATTAACACTCTCTAAATGTTTTGTTCAAGATTATATAATTTTTATATAGGAAACAAAAGAAAGTAGGTAATGCATTGTAAGATGAAGTTAAATTATTGTAATGTTTAAGCATCACACTTTGAAAGTAACATCATCACATTCTTAACTTCTGCATGTGACTAAAATGATTGGCCAGCTTTATGCTCTAGCTACTTTTACCCCCTAGGAAAGAGGACCCAGATGCCCATTGGAAAGAATATGGTTGGTCTGAGCCATTTTGTATGTGGTGGTGAAGAAAAACATTGCAACACTCTTGACAGCATTAAATCATAAATAAAAATAATTAACATATGTGATGTAAGATTCATGATACCAAAAAGTCAATCCTACAGCAATCATGAATGATGCTATTCAAAAGAAACATGTTTTTTAAGGTATCATTTAAGTAGGAACATACAAAATTTGAATGGCTGAAATAACAGATTATGACAAAATTAATGAACTGAATTATATTTTTCTTGATATAAACAGAAGTAGTTCATTATAAATAATTAATTAATAAATTAGCATGTAGTGTAATTATTTTTAGATGATCACATTACTTTCTTGCTAAAGTTACTTAATAGACTTAATACATTATTCCCTTCTCTATGCTTTTCTAATTGTTAAATGAACTTTTCAGCTTGCATGCTTCTGCACCATACTTGCTAGCCTTTACTTACTTGCTTGCTGGCCTGCTTACTTGCTTGCTCATTGTTGTTAGGAATAGATGACTTAATATTTCCTTCACAACAAACATCCATAGTCTTTATAATGATTTTAGCATGATTGTCTTCTCACTAATTATGTCTGTGAGTTCTAATATAATTCTCCAACTAGTTTAGTTTCAGGATCACTGTCAAGCAATGAGCCCTTGAAAGATACTCAAGAATCAGCAAAACTGAAATGCCTTGAAGATATTGTTTTTCAGGAATCTTATGTTACCAGTAACTTTTCGAAATGTTTCATATAGTACACTTTAATATCTAAATTTGGAAACAAATTTAATTTATATATATATGTTTTGAAGTAATCTGAAAGATTCTTATATATATTTATATATTTATATATATATAATTTTTTAAAGGGAAATTTGCATACATTTCCTAAAAGCATATTATTATTTACATGAAACAAGTATACCTGTAGGGAAGTGGTATAAATTTTCACTTGCTGGAAGTATCCAAAATAATATGAAAGTGACATGCATTTTCTAAGTCTGTGGTGGTAGAGATTAAATGGAATTTCCCTCATCAACTCTTTACCTTCCGAAAATCCAACATTCTGGAGTTTGTTATAAGTGTGTATATGGTGTCAGAGGTTGTGTTTTTGTTCATGTCTTTAACATTAATGGTGAACATTGCTAACAGTTTATCTGTTGGAAGAACTAGAAATATATAGGAAGAATGTATCTAAATTTATTTGCTGTATTAGTAGAAATGGATAAATTATTTGCTGGCAACTATATTTTTTATTTATTATGATGTTTGATGAGTTAAACTTTCTGGTACGGTGTAAAAAATTGTGCCAGATAGAGGGCCCTTAGGAAAGGCTTACAAATTTTAAATTTCCACTCTGTTATTCTGTTGGAATTTCAATTAAAGCATTTCCATTTAAAGTAGTGTTAATTCTAAACACTCTTATATGAATAAAATACCTGTTTGGTGCTGACAACTGTACTGACTCCAATTGTATGAAAATAATTACAGAAGCTTAAACCTCAGATAATTAAATCTTTGTATGGTGTCTTAATTCAGAGATGCATTATCTGGTAGTGAGTCTTCATATCAAAAATTAAAATATGCAGTACACCGATCAATAACAATATTTAAAATTCATATGTATATTTACAGTTTTTATGCTTACATTGTTCTACATTGTTTAATGACAACAATATAGCTCTTATGTTCCTGGTATACTTCATTATAAATCTTTAAACATTAGTGTAATACAAATTGACTTAAATGTATGTTACATTTCACTGCATATGCCTTTTTTCAGATTTGCTGGAGCATCATCTGAGTTGTTTTATTTGGCACTCTTTCACTTTTTATCCTTAAGATAGCACCTTTTCTCACTTCTCTTTATGATTTAATAGTAGGTATCAATCCCACTGTACCCTACATTGACAGTTGACAGCTGACATATTGTACATATTGCCCTGTGAAATTTGTGTGCAATTCTTACTTACCAAGAATGCTGACTGATATATTGAGTCTTCCATATTCATGATACACCACCTCATATTTGAATGTTATTATCACTGGATGTTTCTGTCTGTATGTTTGTGTTGTATTGTAGAGAAACTGCTGTGCATTCCAGGAACTGAAAACATAAGATCCTGAAAGTTTCTGGAAAATATCTTTTAAGACATTAGTATTAAGGTATTCACAACATTCATTTACATACATTTTTCAGAAGATGAATACTTTGTGCAGTTTAATGTTAGTCTTATTTCCTGAAAGCAAAGACTTACAGAACAGTAATACTTGTTTCCTACAATAACTTTCAAACAAATGGAGTGACTGTTTTAATTTCAGCTTGGGATCAACCTAATGCTACACAGTCCATAAATTTGTTATGTCATAGATGCAAAATGGTGATCACATAAGCTCCTAAAATGTTGCACTACATTGTGGTTTAAATTTATAAGAACTAATGATCTTAATAAACAATGTTTTGTGACTAATTTTGCAAGCATAATATTTGCTAGCATTTCAAAACGATTTAAAGCAAGAGATGTGCTTCTTTTTAAGATCATGCAACAATATGCTATCATGGGAAGATATAGATTATTCTTTTTATTTCAGTATAGAGAGTGCTGTAGTTTAGACTTATGGAACCAAAATTATGAGAAATTGTAAATATGTATTTCACATAATTTTAAAATGTACTGGAATTTTAGAAATAGGAGAACTGATCTTTTGATGACACTTCCATTTTAAGTTTTCAAAATGTTATAAACTAGGCAAAAAAGTTGATCATGGTGTAATCATTCCCATTAATTAATCTTCTAATCAAGAACCAGGAAGAAAACATGCACATACACATTATAGTTGCAGTGAATTCCTTTAGGGCAATCAGAATCAACAGGGATAAATCTCTGATGTTTTGGAAATTATATACATGTAATTTATCTGAAAGGATATTGACTAATGTTGTTTGGCAACAGTGTGCTGGAGTAAATATTAGAACAGAGAGAAAAGAAGAAAAAAGAATAACAGGAGAATAATTAGGAGACTGATGATGAAGATGATGATATTATAATTCATGAAATTTATATACTGTTTACTGATAATTTATATTATTGTAGTTTGTGGTGGATTTCATCATTTCTTGCATGACTGTAGATGATACCTATTGCAGCTTTTGCTGCCTATAGAACACACATATTTGTCATCCAAGACAATGTAGTATTATCTTTTACATATTCTGTGATGAATGCAGTGCACTGCCAATCTTGTAACTACATGTTGGGGTCCATAGTTTGGCCCTGTCCACTCCCTATTCATTATTGCTGTCATCCTATAAGATCTGTTCCAAATTTCTCTTGTTTTCCCTTGTCTTTCAACCATTATTTCTTTGTTTACTGTCATGCTCAGGATTAGCATTTTTAGTCTTAGATCTTCCAATAGGCAGGGTTCTGTGGCCAAGGCATTGATCAACCTTGAAGTGGTGAAATTTGAAAGCCTCATTATTTTCTTTAGGTTTTCTAGATTTTTAAGTGACATTGCAGATAGATTTCTAGATAATGTCAAGCCCATGTGTAAATACTGGCGTGAACTTTAGTTTAAAGAACTTCAGAATAGCTGCTATGCACCAGTGGGTGACATTTTGAAAAGATCATTCCTGTAGTCTGCAATGTGATGGTTAAATGCTTAAAGTTAAAAAGTGATTCCAGCTTCTTTCCATCATGGTAGATATGATCCTTCTTCTCTTCCTGAATCTTATTATTTTTGTAATTCTGTTGTGAATGGTAAGTTCATTGTCATTCCACATGCAGTCAGGTTCTCCATAGCATTCTGTGGATCTGCTTGAACTGTGGTAACTGTTACCATGTCATCTGCAAAGTTTCTGTAAGGGGGTGAATAGTATCTGATCTGGCAGTGTTGAATAACGCTACCTCAGAGGCTCTCCCTGTAGCAGTGCACACTTTACAAAATATTATTTGGTTGAGCGAATAAAGAAAGATGAGATAGACACAATGTGACATGAATGGGGGAGAGGTGAGAAATGCATACAAAATTTTAGTTAGAAAACCTGGATGGAAGAGACTAATTGGGAGATTTAAATACGGATGTGAATATGATATTATACTGGATTTTAAATGAATAAGGTGTGAGGTGTGGACTGTATCCAACTGGTTCAGGATAGGACCAAATGGCCATCTATTGTGAAAACAGTAACACAATTTTTGGGTATCATAAGAGGCAGGGCATTTCTTGACCAGCTTAGTAACTGTCAGCTTCTGAAACAAAATTGCTCTGTGAATTGAGACATACAATCTTCAGAACATCAGAGTTTTCTTCTGTTAGACTCTTCTGATTGTCCAAGAAAACTTCATTGCATTTAGTCATTGTGAAAACTTTAGCCCATATATATTGAAGGTGTAATAACTGTTTGTTTTTACAAAAAGAAGTTACGTTGTTAATATATATAATGCACCACTTACATGTGTTATGTACCAGGTGGTCTCCATCACTACGTTTAGCCCAGGATGGTGGGCAGCTGTCAGATTTTATAGATGGACTGGGTCCAGGTCAACTCGTGGGTCGACAGGTTCTAGGTGCACCTGCACTTGGTGACATTCAGCTCAGCATGTGCTACCAGAAAGGTTACCTTGAGGTAGAAGTCATACGAGCTCGTGGCCTTCAAGCACGGCAAGGCTCTAAAGTATTGCCAGGTAAATTTGAGGCATGCAGACATACAATTTACTCCACTGTCCAGGCTAATACACTGTTTGTGATGACTCTCAACTGCATACATTATACAGAGTCAATTGTAGGATGAAAATTAATGAAGAACTGAAAAGGATGTGGAAGGCAGCAGTTGTAACCTGTTCAAGGTATTGTGCTAGCATTAGACTGCTGGAGAAAAACCACAAAACCCTGTCTTTGGGCTAATATTTTAGCTCTGGGTCCTCCTAAGTATGCAGCAGCAGTTGTAAATGTTAGACAGCTATGTACATTTGTATATTTTAGTAATTTATGAGACATGGTAAGTGACCCTACCTTAAGGTTTTTGTATCAGTTATTTGATAAATGCAGATGTTGAAAAAATGTATTATAAAACAAAATAATGTTGATTTGATTATTTTTATAAAATATCTTTTTTTGTTAAATATATTGTTCAAATTTGTATTTTGATTTAGTTTTGATTTCATTAATTAGAATATTTCTGCATAAATTAATATTATGCAGAAGTACCATCTGTTAGACATATATCTACATCTCACTACTTATGAAGAAATGAATCTTAAGTTATTAAGAGGGGGTTTATGTTTCATTGTCTTTTAAAGGTAGAATTACTCCTGCGCCTGAGCATCATGCTGTGAGAGCAAATAATAATATAAGTAAAGCTCATAAGGCTGCTGCATTATAATACTAACTTGTTATTAGCATTTTTGTGTGTAAAGAAGGGTCAATAGATGATACAGAGTTTGCTTCATTACCTTGTTTATCACTGAATTTAAGCTACAGACTTTCTTTCACAGCACCATATGTGAAGGTATACCTGGTGAGTGGGAAGAAGTGCATAGCAAAAGCAAAGACTGCAACAGCAAGAAGAACACTGGATCCATTGTACCAACAGCAGTTAGCTTTCAGAGAACCATTTCAAAGCTGCATATTACAGGTAGTGGAAATTTAGTGGGGAAAGCTCCTGACTTTCATAATAATCTACATAAAAGAACAGGAAATTCAATGCATGTTTTGTTGCTTGCATTGCATGACAACTGACAAGAGTAGGCAAAATGTGAAATAGTTTCAAATTTTTACAATGTTACTTTTTTTACAGCCATTAATCTGATGGATTTTACATACATATAAATATGGTAAAATTCCAGATGTTGGCTAATTAAAGCTTTGCTGTCTGTTAACAGAGAGTTAGCATGTGTCTGCATGCAAGCACAACAGAATCTATATTTTAGCAGAGACCTTCAATACTACTAACAAACAAATTGACTCTATATTCTCTTTATATGCAGGCAGAATACTTTTTATTCTTGTATCCTTTTCAAACAATAGAAGAAAACAGCATATTTTCAGACTCTTATTTGAGAACTACGCAATTCTAACCATGGCTGAGGAATGAGTATCATGGCTCAGGTTTATTGTGGTTTTTCTCAGTCCTTTGAGGGAGAAGTTTTAACGTGCTGAGTCTTAAACTATGCAAATTTGAGAAGTTCCATAAGAGATAACAATAAAAAATATTTTAACAGCAACGGCAATGTAAACAGAAATATTAATGCTTTAAACTTGCAATAAATTACATAAATCTGGCATTGCTTCTAGCTGAATACTGTTGTCATATCTTGAAACAGCATATGACCTTTTTTATTTCTCATCCTCCATACATCAGGAAAAAATCACACATATGATTTGATACTAAATAACATTTTGGTGAAGACAATAGTGGAAATATCCTATATAATGTGGATTTCATTGTGGTTCAGTGATATTATGAATAAGACATTAATGTCCTTGTGAAGATAAAGCTATTTGAACAGTTCAGAGCATTCAGAATACCAAGGTACAACGAATTTGTGTAGAAACTCTGTGTATTGCAGTATAGATTGTGCCTTTCCAGTCTAATAAACATTTTATGGAAATTTTATCTTGAACTCCCAGGACTTCAACATTAGAAATGGTTTCAATCAGTAAAATCTGAGGGACTTGATTATGTACCTAGTTTTGTCATGAAGGGTTGCTCTGAAATATTTGTTTCTGTTCTCAAGTTTGCTTTTAATCTCACTTTGTCTCAGCAGGTTTTTCCAAACTTTTGGAAGCAGGCAGCTATTATCCCCAGCAGTTCCTTTTTTTAGCTTTTATAGATTTAGTTATATTCTTAATCATTCTTTTAAAGTTCTTAGAATTTATTTTACATAACCACATTCCTAATTTTTAAAGTCAAAATTAAGTCTTGCTTAATATAATTTTGTCACTTTTAAATCTAAAACTACCAGTTTGGTTAAATTTCTTGATTTTGTTATACCTTTTACCAGTTCAGAATTTTGAATTGATTCTATTTATTTTGATCTCAATAATGCTTCTGGCCTTGTTCCACATGCCCTTGATCTCCACAAGCTTAACAATCATGGATTATCAATTTGATATGTACATTGGTTCTATAGGTACTTATCTAAAAGATATTTCAAGTGCAATTTTCTGAAGTTTCTTCTTAACTTTTGTTGTACCCTCTGGTGGTTCTCAGGGATCAGTTTTGGATCATTCTATTAATGCTACATTTTCAGATATGGGAACACTATAATAGCATTATTATTTTAGTGAGATTCCATAGGCATATGTAATGATTTACGTATGTGATTCTCTTTTAATAGGTGACAGTGTGGGGTGATTATGGTCGCATTGAGGGCAAGAAAGTCTTCATGGGTGTTGCTCAGATTATGTTGGATGACCTGAACCTCTCCAACATTGTGATTGGCTGGTACAAGTTGTTCGGAACGACCTCATTGGTTAGTGGGCCTCCCTCGCTCGGCCTGTCTCGACGCAGCTCTCTGGCTAGCCTAGACTCCCTCACCAGTCACTAGCCTAGATCATCACTTCTAATCTACTGATACTTCTACTTCTACTGCAGTAATCCACACCACCTTTCCTCACAACCAACCACCTCTACCACCATCACCACCTACACACCTGCACTTACTAGCAAATTGCCTGACTGAGAACTTATCATCCATCGCCTGCTCTCGATGAAGCCGTCACTTGCTAATCAGTAGGTATTCTAACCATAAACAACCTCAATCGATCGATGATCCTCCTGCCTTATATGTTGTGAAGGATCTCTTCCAATTAATTCAGTTTTAGCAGAAGAATCAGGTAATTACACATCCAAAAATGATCCAAATTATTATTTATACAGTACATTCCATTAATGTCATAAATAAATATGCATTTGTTCTAATATATACAATTTTAATTTAGCATTTACCATAGTACCCTGTAGAGGAGATGGAGGACAAAGATGTTGACTTATTAAAACTTGTGTTACTTGTATTTAGAGACTGCACACCAATAGATGTGAAACATCTCAAATAATAAGCTAACAGAGTTTTTCAAAAACTTGAACTTAGCATTTGTTATAACACAGAGAGTATTAACTTGATTATTACTTTGGACATTGTCCATCTTCTTGGTTATTTGTTGAAAACCACAGAGTTTTGTAGATTGGATCTGTCTCCATCATCATGTTAATATCAGGAGAAAGAGGTGCCAACTGCAGTGGGTCCCATAGATAGAGCTGGTCTGTCTCTATGACTGTACTAGCTCTGTCTAAGGGATCCACCAGAATGGGCACCTGTTTTCTCCTTACCTCAACCTGATGACAGAGGCAGATCCAGTCCCCAAAATGTTCTGGTTTTTAACAAATAACTGAGATGATTACAATGTCCACAGTAATATTCAAACTGACTGAAACACACCATCATCAGAACCCTTTAGACAGACAACATGCACAATATGCAAGTTTACTTGATCACTGACCACATTAATTTTCAGTGTTAATAAATGCAAGGTGACAAACTCAACAGTACATAGATAATTGTAATGTATTTATTTACCTTAGAATCTGATATAACATGAAATTCTTGTAAAATGTAAGAATATTTACTGTTATTGACTAACTCCATATTACACAGTCCATCTTTAAATTGTTTGGCTACTCAAGAAGTTCTCCATCTTTCATGGAACCCAAAAGTTCGTTACTGGACAATATCCTAAACAAGATGAATCCTTGTCACAACTTTTCACACTGTTTCAATAAGATCCACTTCAATATTTACATACATGCATACATCTTTATTGCATTCCATGGATCCATAAGTTAGTCAGATGACAATAGGATGTAGAATAAGTCATAATAACAATACAAAACATGTTATACAAATACAAGTCATACTATTATATAAATGTCACAAAATACAAACAAAGGGTTCACATAAAGTAGAGATAAGTTACAAATAAATCCACCCATTATATACAATAGATAAATTATGATTTACTTGTAAACATTAAAAATTCATCGACAGAGTAAAAGGAGTGTGTAATTAAGTATCTTTTTAATGCTGGTTTAAATTGTGCCTTTTTATTTACAAGACTTGTGAGATTTGATGGTAGACTGTTGAAAATTTTGATCCCTGCATAATATGCTCTCTTCTGAAAGCAGGAGAGGTTGGCAATTGGTCTATGAAGCTGATTTTTATTCCTTGTGTTGACACGGTGTATAGCAGAATTAGTTTGAAAATGTTCTTGGTTATTTACAATAAAGTTCATTAATGAGAATATGTATTCACATGGAAGAGCTAAGATTTCTAATCTCTTAAACAGACTTCTACATGAATTCCTAGGTTTGACACCAGCCATTAATCTAACAATTTTCTTTTGATGAATTTCCCCGAAAACTTCCCTTCTATTCCAAGATATTGCAAATTATCTGTTCTATTCTGATTTTATAACTGGAAATTTGAATACATTTCTTACCTCTCCCATATATGCTGCATGCCCCAACCATCTAATCTTCCTAATAGTATTTGGTGAATGGTACAAATTATGAAGTTTATATTTGTTGTGATCAAAACTAATATTAACACAAAGTCACTTAGCAGCCCTTGATATGGAGACAACTTAATAGAAGTTAGACGTATGAAGTAAAAGCTCCATATACTTAAATTCAAAAGAACGTTAGTTATTTTTATGTTTGCAATAAAATGACATTTTCAAAACCACACTAATTTTGTCATTCACTATACATTAGCATTATTTGCAATTTACCAGACATTTTATATCCCTAATGTTAAAAATATATGTACAGATTTGCTTGTGAAATACCCTTTATATATTCCATAAATCTATTAATCATTGCTATCCTGTGTTGGAAGGCTTCCAACATTGTAATTTTCCCATACAGGTCCATTGTCAGAAGCCTTGTGACATCAGCTTCATAGACTTTCTGCCACATTATGATCGTGCACCAAGTGCTTTATTATTTAGACACTTTGGCATATTTTTGATTATTAAGAAAATAGGAATAATAGGTGGCAGGAATTTAAATTCAGAAACATGTCAAAGCACTTCTTTTTTATTTTCACTCAAATTAATTTGTACCTGGTAGAAGTGAGGATTGAAATCAGAATGATAACAAAAGTTGAATTGGCCATAGCTCAGATAGAAGTGACCTTTTTGAAATATAAGAAATGAAATTTTCATATTTTTAAAAGCTTCATTTCCACCTTAGATTTGATATATCATGAAAAGTAATGACGTGATGTGATATCTGTAATTTTAACAATTAGTACAGGTGATAAGGAATCACTGGTAGTGTTGCATATTAACTCAAGACATATGATTCTTAGATTTTTTTAAAACTAGAGCAGAGCACTCCTTTCGGAGCTCCTCAGGCGGGTTGGTCAAGTTTGTAATACGCAACCAACCTTGTGTAAGAAACTAAACTAACCCCCTGAATGGAGGGTTAAAACACTTGACCAATCCCCTAAGGGGGGTTGGTCAAGTTGCGTTCTAAAATCTTAAGTAACACACTAAACTAGTTTAGTGTGTTAGTTAGTTTAGTGTCTCATTCAAGTGATTTAACCCTTGAGGAAGAAACTAAACTAACCCCCCCGAATGGGGGTGAAAACGCTTGACCAACCCCCCTTCAGAGGGGTTGGTTGCTTTTTAAAATCTTGAGTAAGACACTAAACTAAACCCCCGTTCGGGGGGGTTAGTTTAGTGTCTCAGTCAAGTGTTTTAACCCTTGAGTAAGAAACTAAACTAACCCCCCCCCCCCGAATTGGGGGTTGGTCAAGTATGTAAAATGCAACCAACCTTGTGTAAGAAACTAAACTAACCCCCCCGAATTGAGGGTTAAAACAATAGACCATCCCCCCTTCTGGGGGGTTGGTTGCATTTTAAAATCTTGTAGAGCAGTGATAATGCGACTGGCTTGGTACTAAGCGTTATTTGTTTACTCGGCATTGTTGTGGTGTACACGGCATTGTTGTGGAACAACAATGCCGTGTATAAACAAATATAAGGTGGCATTGTTGATGACGTCATTTTTTGACGACGACGACGACTAATCAGAAATTTTTATAGTAGATTAGAGTGTTATCATACATGTATGCACAGCTTATTGTGGCAAGGTTCAGTCTAATGTTTATAACACAACCCTTGTTGTCTTCACTCAGTTTTGTCTAAAATAATTCTTATTTACTGTTGTTATTCAAATAAAGGATTTGCTGGTCCAAGGCTGTACTATATTTAAATAATTCTATGATGCCAAATGAAATTACTAATTTCTACTTTTTCAACTTGATTTAACATATCGAATCTCAAATTATGTCATTTTCATTAATATTTAGTTTTCATAATTATAAAAATAATTTGGGCCTTAAAGGGTTAATGTTTTTAAGTTATTCAGATTACTCCCACAAACCATGTAAATAAATGGTGTGCAGTCAATGGAAATTTCACGTGTCACAATAAAATGAATGAACACTATGGATCTTTGGGTGTGTAATGAAAATAACTATTTCTGTACTCATTATTAAGTGCAGCCTTATAAATAGTCCTAACATTTTTATATCATAACCTCAAAATCCTATTGATCAAAATTGTATTGCTTCCATTTACCTTTTCCCTTGTAGTTATAGCATTGCATTGCATTTGTTTCATGAACTTAAGTAGATAGCCTATTTCTTAAGAGTCTTTCAAACTGCATGCTGTTTGCTGTGTATTTACACTTCAGTTTTTATTTTTCATACACAGTCCTAATTCCATTTTGAAACATTGTAACTCAAAGGTACCATTCCTCTTACCATCCTAACCCAAGGAAAGAAACTAAACTGAGAATTCATAGTAATGGGAGAGATAACAAGAACTTGTTTCAAAACTATCATTATTGATTAAATGCGATAATTGTCAAATTAATCAAGAGGTGTAGTAATGCAAGTATCATAATGGTAAATTTATTTTTTTCTGGTAGTTCATTCAGAATTGCTTACACGCACATGTAGTTTTCTTTCTTAAAGTTTAAAGTTGCTTTTGTATTTCTTTGGAAGGTAGAGGGAAGTTAAATGAGAGAAAATAACCTGAATTAGTAGCATGCACTTCCTGAGTTCCCATCTCCTAAATTCATAGAAGATATAATTGTTGTTTGTTAATAGGGTATGCATATATAGTAATGTACTATTACTATTAGGTATAACTGTAACAAGATATTAATTATGATAATATATGTCTACTAGAAAAACAGATACATTTACAATTAATATTTATAAATTCTACAAATGATTATATTTACTGTAGTTTTACCTCATCTAGAGTTTAATAAAATATGAAATGAACTGATGGAAATTAATTTCATGACTTGCAAAGAGAGAAAATTATTTTGTTGCTTGGTATTTGAAAAGCAGGATACATATTGTCATGAAGCTGAAAATTGTTGTTCTTTGTATGCAATTGTGATTACCACATTATCTCCTTTAGCTTTTAAAGGCTGTTCTTATTTATGTGCTCTCAGTGATAGAGATTTCAGACAGTTTGAGTTTAAAGTACTTTTTTCATGGATGACAGTATACTCACAAAAAATAATTTGAATATGAATAAATGCAGAGATTTTCTTAGATGGTATGCAATTACACTTTTTTTTATGAAACACAAAAATAAAAGAGTAAAAATCTGTTCCTAAATTTGAGAGAGCAATGAAAGTCAAAATAGAGACCACCATTTTACTATAGCTTAAGTTCCTGTTTTTGAATAATTGTTGATCACTTTTATAAAAATAATGTGTTGGAAATTGCTTAAAATTTATATGGTCAAGATGCAGCTATCCAGGTGGTATTGTCAGACTGAGAACTGGTAACTTTCTATAGATAATCCCATTTGTTAGTGTTGAGTAATATTCATCTTACCTAACAAATGTATATTTCTTACATCTTAACCCAAATACCTGTGCAACCATGAATGATGTAGAAGGCAAACTATTTTCTTTATATTATGTATAATTTAAATTGCACTGTGATCAAGGCTCTCTTAAAAGTTGGCCAAGGCTCTTGAAATTGTTGTTTGTTTGTCATCAGTCTTTCGACTGGTTTGATGTGGCCCTCCATTTTCGTCTATCTTGTGCCAATCTCTTCATTTCCACATATTTTTTGCAGCCCACATCCTCTAAAATCTGCGTCACATATTCCAATCTTTGTCTCCCCCTACAATTCTTCCCTTCAACTGTTCCTTCCGTTAGCAAATTAACCAATCCTGGGTGCCTCAGAATGTCCCCCACCATCCTATCTCTTATCTTATATCTTTTATATATAGCACACTCTGTTAAGTTGAGTAACATTTTAACACTGACCCAAAATTCTTTCCCCAGGCATCCTACTGTATGCTAAATTTACATATAATCTGCACCTGCTATACCTCTCAAACACATACGCACATACACATACCATAAATAGCATATCAGGTATTAGTAATGTTATTTGATTGTTTTGTCTTGCAAGTAATTCACAGAAGGCCTACCCAAAAATATATCTGTTCTGTGAAAAAGGGTTTTGATATTTCTCAGTGATGTTCACCATGTCGGCTGTTTGATAAAGAGAAAACTACTTTAGCTAGGAATTAATTTGATCTTTCTTTTATATGACAATGAAATAATGTTGAGATATATACATATGAAAGACAAAAATTGTTTTCTCAATAACGTGATTCTAGAGCATTGCTTTAGGTTCTGTGTAAGGTACTGACTTTCTCAATTTATTGGATTATTAGCATATTTATTACTGTACCAAGATTTGTAAAGAAATTGAAGAAAATATGACTCATCAGTTTTAAGTTAAGCAGTATTACTTATAAATGATGCCTTATAAAAACTTGTTGATTTTATATTAAGGATTACAAATACTTATGCATTTTATACAGAAGTTGAGGTGACATAGTTGAAAGGTAAATAAGGCATATTTTCAAGTTTTAAGTATCTTGCCTTCTAACCATGTTCACAACAGTCCACCCATTTTAACATTATTGTCAGGGTTTTTAGTCCCCAGCCCAATAACCATACTAGAGGATCATACCTTGTCAGTTGTTTGTGATTGCTTGTTAAACATATTCACAGCTGCACTCCATTCTGGTGGTTGTCAGAAACCCATCGAAGATTTTTTGTTGTTTTTGTTTTTTTATATCTACTAAATACTCTATTTCCTGAAGACCCACATACTTGAAAACCCTTACACCTTCATGACTACATGTACATTCAGCTTAACAATTCAGTCTACACTTCTGTGTATGCAACCCACTGACACACAGAAACTATACTAACAGTTCAGTATATCTTGCATTAAGTGGCAAAACTGAAAGTTGGGGGGGGGGGGGGTTAGGGGGAGAAAGAAGAAGAAAATCCCAAGCATGACAGTTTTTTATAGATTTGATTAAGAATAGTGGAGGTAAATTACTCTTGTGACATAACCAGTTATGATCTTGTGTGGCTCATGTGCAGTCCAGTTGGTTGCGTGTCATCACACTAGCATAGAGTTAAACCGTTATCCCCAGAGTTGAAGTACAACTGTCATTCTTGTAGTACAAGGGTTTAAATATCCCCTAGTCTTGTAAAATAAAGGTTAATAAAGTCCTTTAGTTAGCTGTACATAATAACATAGGAAAATGTTCATGGTGTTGAAAGTACGCCAGTAAAATTTTTTCCTTGCAGTACTTTCGTTTTATTTTCACTTGAAATATTACTCTGTCTTACAGAAACAGATACAGTTTTGGGTTATTGACTTAATAGTCTGTTTTTATTCATATTAGTCTATATGTTGATCGTATGGTAGTAGATGTCTCTTCTTTAGACTTCTCTGGATTTGACATATTATCGTTATAACATTATTTGTATTACTATGCATCTTATAAATATATGATTACAGAGAAACAGTATTCTGAAAAACAAAACATTGTGAGATTGAACATTGCCTTTTGCACTGTGAAGTGACATAGAGCTTCTTCTACATGTGCATTGTTTATATATCTTATATTTGTACAACAGTACATTTCATTATAAACTAACCCTTTTGCTGCTGAGATTAATATACTTAGTTTGCTTGCTAATGCAGTTAACTGTGAAAATAAATGTAACCTTACAATCATCATTGTTATTATTGTATCTTGTCTTATCATAGAATCATTATACAAAATGTCTTAGAATATATACATTTCTCATACTACAGAGCCTATTTCTGCTGTCATTAGATCATAGAAAAAAATGTTGTAGATCATGTGTTCAAGAGAATTAAAATAATTTAATTTTCTGGAAAGTTCATATGAAAATTAAGGTTTGCAGCAGAAGGATTAGTAATAATTAATTTGGTTTAGTACCCTCTTCACTCTTTTCATGTTATGAATAAGATATATTGCTTGAAACAATATTTATCACATATATATGTTTAATGTGGCCATGAGTAAAAAGATAAACCTATCCTGCCATCTTTTGACATCTTAAGCTAACCATTTGCAGCTTCCTGGTTACTTAATTTATAAGCTATCAATTTGGAAGTAAGATCATGTTTCTGCTGCTTCCATCATTATACCTTAAAATTCAGGAAGCTTCTTTGCAGTTAACACATTGATGTAACCAACGAACTTGGAACTAAGTTGAATAGCACCAGTGTGGAAAAATTAAGTTCTACATAGTTATCCTTATCTGCCCATATCAGGGATCACTAACCCCAAATTCTGTTTACTTGATTTCTGTGACTCAATCCATCACATCCTTTCTTAACTTACAATGATAAAATTGGATCATAACTTACAACTGAATCTCAAATTCAGCTTTTTATTAACCCTTAACCAGTGACATGTGGTCTGTAAGACCACAGCAGATTTTTTCTTCTTCTTTAATATGGTTTGCATAGCTCTGCTGTGTTTAGTACATTCATGTCCTTTGTTTATATATCTTTATCATTATTTCTTTCCTTTTGTTTGCTTATACTGGGAAACTTAGTCTGATGGCAGTGTGAGAAACTGTACGTCAAAAGTTTGCATGAGTTTTTGACTTTTTTGTAGGTCATGGAGACTCCAGTGCTATGTTGGCTTTCAATAATTCTCAGGAATATATGTCATTCTATAAATATTATTTTTGTAGGAAATGCAATTTTATCTTTGTAATAGTTTTCAGATGTGTGACATTACTGGAATATTCATTCAGTTCAGTCTGATACTGTAATTTTCCTTAAGGTGTGGCCTTCCTATAACACAGTCATAAGTGATTCAAAGTTTGTAGAAAGAAAAGTTCTGTAAGTATGATATATTTAAAATATGACTGAACTACTTGAAATGTGTTAAAATATCAATAAATATTTACTATTTTTTCAGGATGTTATGCATGTTTAAAATATGGAGGAAATCTCCCCACTAATACTTTGATGATAAAAGAATATTCATGGTTCTGAATATCTGTGTGCTTGTTGGGTTTTGTACTCCATTATTCACAGCTTCTTATCTTATTGCATGTACACTGGTCGATATGTCCCATTGCTGTCACCAGTGAGAACATGAGTCTGGGGAGTGTGAAGCTAACAACAATGGCAGCAATGATGACAACAACAATGAAGTTATCACCACCTCATGAGATATGCTCCCTCAAGCAAGCATCACTACTGCAAGCCTAGATGTTGGTCTCCAGTTCTCCCCTTATAACAAGAGAAAGCAGCTCTTGGCTTCCCAGCTGCAAACATCATCATGCACTAGGAGTTGAAAGAGGCCCATGAATGTTGATGGTGAACAGTATCACTGGTACTGCTACCATATTGGTCAAGTCTCTTGAAAAGTTTTACTTCTGCAGTGACATATGTATAGAATAAAAAAATTGTGCTACCAAGTTCAATGAAATAGGAGACATAAGTAAAAGCCCATCTTGTTTAAAATTGAACAGTACTTTGTGTGTTTGTGCTTCGTGCAGTGATAGACTTTGTACATATTACATAGAGAAAAGGTCTCACATTTAAAAACAAACAACCAAATGAAAACATGTGTTTAAAATTCACGCCTTCCACAAATTTCTGTGAATATATATATCATATAACATACAATAACAATTAAGAAAGAAGAAAAACTCTTTGATTATTAAAAATAAAATTTAAAAATACCAATTATATCAATCAAACAGCTGTGAGGATGATGTATGGAGAATGATAAAAATTTTGAGTGCCTGAGAAATGTGAATTAGGTTCAGGATGTTCAAAGATACCTGTTAGGTTTTTGTTTGAAAATTACAAGAAAAACTGATAAATTTGAACATTCCATTTCTTCTTTGGCATCTAAACATTATTAAAGACAGCAGAGACAACTGCATAATCTTTAGTGCAGGAAATTTCAGATTATAAGTTCAGGATCAACATTTAGAACTACCTTCTAATGTTGATGCCACATGCATATAAAAACTCATTTATGTGGAGGTGCAAAAATACATTTTAAAACTTTAAAACTGATTCGGTGTCAAAAAATATTACTTTTCTAAAAAAACATAAATGTTTGGGAAAGAAGGTTGAAGCTAATTTTAAAATTCCATCAAAGAAATCTGAAATTTCACATGCTTTGAATTGTACAGTAAAGAATGTTCAAGAAGTGGCTGCTATATTTGTATAAGTTTTTCCTGTAATTCACAAATGAATTCCAGATAGAAAGTACATAAAACTTTTTTATTATACCTTTCTTTGTTTAAAATTTTGGCAAGATGAAAAGCAAACTAAACAGCCAACATTTCATGGGCTGAATAGTTAAATTATAAATTACAGTAATTATTATTGTTTGATTTCTAATCACCAAAAACCTTCTAATTTTTTAACTGCCAGTCATGGAAACAATTGACAATGGAAAAGTGTGAGTGCTCATAAAACTATCATAATTGGCCAAGTAATAGGAACTTGCAGCTGCCTACCCCACAAACACCACCCTAAAATGTACTCTGTAGCAGTTAGCAGTAATAGATGATTTTTTAATATACAGTACATACATAAATATATAAATTGAATCCCTACCACCACCTCAGGTTAAAGTGGATATGCATACAAAAGGAAATAGTATTATTATTTCATGGTTTCCTTTACCTTTTGTTTTTGTATGTTTTATTGGTAGAACAGAATTGATTTTTAAGATAAAATCTGATGAAACCATGTCAACTTGACTTGTAGATAGCCTTTTCTAAGTGAGTATGGTGTTAGGCTCATTGCATTAAATACTGTGGAACTTGTGATTTAAATCTATTTTGAATTAACATATGAAATAATTATTATTTAATGAAATGGTTTTATTTTTTGGTGTGAAATTTTCAATAAAGTGGCCACAATTTTAAATGTTAAACATTATGTGGATGAGTTGTATGTTAACACAGTGAAGACTCAAGCTGCATTCAGTTCTAAAAGAGGTTTTCCACCCAAAATGATGGGCCATTTAATGTTACTAAATGCTGACACTATATTTAGAAGTTCTTTCAAGTAATTTATTATATAAATTATTCTTTTGTAAGAAATAAATCACTGGAAATACTGAAAATTTAAAATTAAGATACCTATAACTTTTCCTCTTGTGGGTAGAGGATTTGTCTTTCATAAAGGTGAAAAGAGAATCACTCTCAACACTTTAACAAAATGAAACTGAACCCATGAACTTGTTACAAGTTGAAGTGAGAGAATGACACAGAGAGAAAGAGAGAGAGATGAACTAAACCTAAGACTTCTACCCTCATATCTACTGCCTTTCTTTGGTATTGTCAGCTTTAAAATAATTGTAGTTAGAAAACAAAAAAGAAAGAAAATTGGTGCTTCAGTCTTGTATTGTAGTCTTATAAACCATTTAGGTATTAAACCTTGAGACATGCTATTTCACCTTCAATGAATGAAATCATTCAGGCTAGCTGCCTCTGATGTTATATATTTCCTAGGGGTCATGTATTACTAGTTAGCACAACTGTCTGTATGAAAAGATCTCCTGCTACATATTAGGGGCATATAAAAAACTGTTTTGTAAGTTATCTTATTACATTCAAATTTTCTATCATTTTGTATGTTTAATCAGTGTTATCGTATATCTGACTATGAAAAAAATGTATAGCTTTTCCAGACTAAGAGAAATTTAAGAATAGAGTGTAAATAATAGTATATATTCAGACCCAGTCACATTGGTGTAAAAGAAAGATTCATAAGGGACCACTGGATCATTATTATTTCACTTTTTCTTTGGAAACTTAGAACATTTTGTTGTCTTGGAAATGTCTTTTGCATAATACCCTATTAGGTGACTTCATGTTTTGTACTAATCCTAAAATAAATTACTGTAGAATCTATATGTGCAGCATGAATATATTTCCTTTGTTATAACATGAATATAAATCAGAGTGTATGATTTAACTTGCTATATTTCTGTGCAGTGGTTGTGTGCAAAGTCAGGGTGAAATTTTCCGGACACCTACAAGAGTATGAGTGGTCTATAGTCTAGAATCAGTCAAAGTGAATTTATTCTGCTGGTATGGTCCTGTCAGTACTGGTAAGAGAACTAGATTGTGGGACAGTTCCTATAATATGGTTTTATTACCAGTACTTGAGTTGTATCAAGTTGTTATCACTCACATTCAATACGGTAAATACAGTTTCATGGTGGTTGGACAATGCCAGTAGAATATTGTGATTTTGTTGGACCTTTATATTTGTAATAAGTATGAGACAGTTGTGCAAACTTGATGCATTGATTCTTTATACTGCAATATGGGATGCAATGCAACTGGAGACTCCTAGCTTCATATAACACTTTTGCTTGCACACATGTAAAAAGAAAGTTAAATGCCTATAGCTTATTACACCTTGCTTGTTCTTGGTGACTCTGACAATAACGTGAATGATGAATGAATATTATTAAAAAGCCCAAAAAAATAAATAAATAAATAAAAATAAAAATAGAAAAAAGAGAAAAAAGAAAAACTGTCACATTTTGTGCTGTGATCATTGTAGACATATTTCATTCACCCCTGCAAGTAAATGAAGTAACAGGTGGGACATTTTTGTTCTTTTTTTTAGGACTCTTCAGCCACAAAACTGAAGGGGAAAGGACCATATCACATACTAAATATAACATAGTGATGTATAGTGTTTAATTTTTTTTAATCATGGGAAATGACAGGGATGAACAGTTGACCTTTTTCCCCCATCAGATAAACTCTGGTAGACTCACAGTCATAAAGAGGTTGAGGAGGAGGCAGGGTATGATTATTTTCATCATGTGGTAAATATTACCTGGGTCATTCAATATTTAATATTGTGATGTTTTATGTCACTCTTCAGTGTGACAGAGCAATTACAGCCATATTATGATGATAAAATGCTCTTTTTTGGCAGAAATGTACACAATATAATAAATGCCCTGTTTATTCACAAATTTATCTCGAAAACTGTACATACAAATAAAAAATAATAATCGTATTTGAATCTGAATCATACATTATAATTCTCTACCCTTTTTTATGTAATATTGCATTTTCTTTGTCTATTATAAGAAGCCCTTCATGCACATTCAGTTCCCCCATTTCACAATAAATCAAATACCCTTATCTAAAGAATCTATTCTGTTGGGATTGGATGTAATAACATGTTTTCAGATAAAGATGGAAGAAAGTGCTTCTTATCCACTTGACTGTTTGGAGCTGCTCTCATATTTGGGTTTCTTCAGGGTGAGACAGTTCATTGCACATTATTTGTAACTCAGACTTTGGCAGCTACATTCAATCCCATCTGAGGTCAGCTACCCTGACTGGTGTTTTTCATGGCTTTCCTGTTTCTCCAGATAGTTGCTGTAACAAACCTCTCGAAGAAAGACCTAGTAGATACAATAACTAGTACAATCTCCAGAGAACTGTTCCATGGATAAACGATCCTGATTTTATGAAATATCCATTGAATATGCCAGAGATATCCAGTTATATCCATGATATATTTGTAGTATCAACATTCCTATCCTACATTCATCATACAGGTAATGTGATATTTCATAACTCACTCATATCAAAACATTTTGAAACAATTGTTTACAAACAAGTCATGAACAAATTGTCATAATGACAAGCTTCATAACTTGTACTCTTAACAACATTATTATTATTATTATTATTATTAGTTATTAATCCAATTAAGACGGATGAGATGGACAGGCCATGAAGCATGGGAGAAATTATGATTGCAAAAATAACACAAAATTTTAGTAAAAGAAACTGATGGGACGAGACCAAGGTGTAAATGGGAATATAATATTGAGTGCAGCCTGAATATGACTCAGGCTATGATCAAGAGATGGACTCTTGTTAGCACAGCAATGTGCCTGAAGATTGCATGCAAGGCAAGGGATTTCTTGGCTACCTGAGGGTATATTAACTTCTCAATGACTCTTCTCCATGGTGTGGCATTAATTGTTTTATGTACAAATTTTAATTTTTAATTATCAAACACTGTCAAAATTTGTTGTAACAGAAAACCAAACCACATATATTAAACATCTGTGAACATAAAACTTAAATTTGCTTTGAAATTAAGGAATAATGGCAAGTTTTCACACTTTTTATAACCATATAAATATTCATACTTAATACTGTAAACAGAAAGATACTTTACATGCAGCCTGCTGTTCAAAGTAGTCACAACAGAATACTTCTCCATTTTTGTCTAATTTAATTACTGTTATACAGATAGGTTGTAGGTGTCCCTAACTCCTCTCTCCCCATACTTTACCGTTTGAACAAATGAATTAATTTCCATGGAACTTGGTATGAATATCATATCATATGCCATTTGGGGCCACACAACATTCATGCATTTTACTTTTCCTCTCATTGATGCAATATGGTAACCATGCAAATGTATGAGTTTGGAGTGACAACAGCATCATTTATTGCAGTCTTATAAATTTTGTCTTTTGATCTTTGAAAATTATGACTTTTTTATATCATTTGTAGAATGTAAACTAATGAGATGTCAGTTAAGTTGAATATATATTTAGCTTGATGGTGGCAACTAATATATCACTGCCATGAATCATGTGAAATTTGGTATGAGATTCAATAATAAACATAGTTATAAATTATGAAGATTTTTTCTATATATAAAAATTGCAGACATAGCAACACTGTGATGAAACTTCAGGTACTTAAATTCTATAACAGCAAAACTTATAGGCAAAAATAGGTTGCTTCGGTAAATGTAAAGTTGTCCCTGTGCTCAATTAAGCACCATGCTATACAGATGTGTGGGGAAATAAAGGTGTAGCTTCATATATTCTTAGCCTCAAAAATAGATGAAGGTGAGTGGTCAGCTTCACTCACTGTCCACTTCACTCTCAGGAGGAGACCCTGGTGCCCTCTGGAGGCTATGTTGATACCAGAGCTGATCTGGGTGGGGTGGCAAAGAGAAAAACCTCTGTCTCTGTCAGGAATTAAGCCTTGTTCATCTAGCCCATGGCCTATCACTACATAGTACCCTGGCTCCTAGGTCACCATCTCTTATTATTAATTTGTAATGTATTTTATGAGATTTGAGGTTTCCACAAGAGCAAAAATGTGAATTGTGGTCTTCTGGGTTGTAACACCTTGTTGTCTTATAAGTTATCAGCTTTTAAGAGGAACATGCTGCCTCCATCTTCAGGGTAGAATGCCTTAAAGATTGCCATTATTTTTAGTGATCAAAAGGATTCCATACAACATGAAGCTCTGATGTGGAGGAGCCCCTCTAAATGGTCTGTGAAACTGCTTCATGTGGCACTCTGAGGTATTAGAACATTTCACATTATGCAGCTCTCAGATTAACATAAAACTATGTAACAGCCGTACCAAAAATGGTAATTTTTTAATATAATTACAGTGAAGGTATATTATTTGTAAACCCTGGAATCTCTCTCCCATGTTTGTTATTGCTAAGGGCAACCAAATTATTTAACACTTCAAGCAGTGTAAACAGTAAACAGGATCTGATATGAGGTATGGGTTTAGCTATGTGGAAATAGAAGTGTATTAGGTCAGAACGTGATCAGACTTGTAATAGTGAAATTGTACATAAATAAATATATGGTGGTTTACCTGCTCTAATTTTTTGAGGATGGGAGTGCCTGGTTTCACTGATTTATTCCCTCTCACTCCATCAATACTATTACCATGTCATTTTTTATAATTATTAGTTTGTGTAAAATACAGGAGCCATAATGAATCTGTGTTTGTTCTAATGTTTGACAATTATTTCATGACATCTGTGTTACACAGTAAATGTTCTTATTAAGATGCCTATTTGAAAGTTCAGTGCATGGAGAGTGTGAGGTCTTTACATGTTTGGGTAAAATTCTACTATTTGTAGCAAAGCAATCAGGGCATCATCCTGGAATTTAGAAGAGTTTCCTTCAATCTGCACAGCGAAATGTCTCAGAAGACAATCATTTTCAGGTTTTAACAATTAATCGTTGCCGAGTTTCAAATGTTTGGGGGTTGGGGGAGAAAGTAAACTACATGATAGTTAACAATGGTACCGACTGAGCTACTGGCAGTGATTGCTACCTTGAATTAATACCAACTGCTACCGCCAGATCTTATTGTAGTAAATCGACTATCGCTGACGATAAACAGTATTATAATACACTGCAAACATGACGTCATACGTCGCTTACGTTGCCAACATATAACATTAATTTATTGATATTGTACGTACAAAAATGAAAGTTAGAGCATGTATAAAGACAAAGTTATTGTGCCACACACACATGTAAATACAGTTTACATAGTACACCATTCAAAAAACTTCATACTGTAGAAAGAATCGTACAGTTCACAACTCTACTATTTCACGGCGCAGATACAAGTTGATAGCGCGCGAGAAACCATAGGCCTGCGCAGCAACTTGTGTTGGTTACAAAAATGGCTGCAAATCAGGATCAATTCCAACAAGTGCTAGATACTCTTTTAAGCACTGATAATAATATTCGAACTCAGGCAGAGGTAAAACCATAACACATAGGAAAAAAATTATAATTTAATTTCTTTATGTCTGTCACATTTCAGTGTTTTTAAATTCGAATATAATCTTACACGTTGGCATTTACCTCGTGTTAAGGAACACGAGGAATGATCAGGAACGAAGGATTATCTTGGAGAAATAACCAGGACATTGAGTCAAGAAATACGTGTAAAATGGCAGTGGTTGTGTGAATATTACGTGGGTATGCATTGGTTTGCAGGAGGCATACAACAATCTCCCGGTCGAATCTAAGGTTACATTTCTTCTCAGCTCGGTCCACAATGCAGCGATGGGGGAGGAACTCAGGCAGATGGCTGCTGTACTTTTACGACGATTGTTCTCCGCAGAATTCATGGATTTCTTTCCAAAGGTTAACGCATTGATGTATCAGTCTCTGTCCGTGCTTCAAATATTTTGTTTGAAGCGGTACTGTATGTTTAACATTTTGCATGTAGAAGATAATACAGTTTCATGCACACATTTTATATTTAATTCCTGAGTCTGCAGAAAAGTCGGTTTTAATTTTTATATGTTTATACATATTTATATTTAAGTATTATGCCAACACAGTAGTCTCTGATTGTTAAGTTGTCTCATTAGTTGGAATGTGGGGACGGGGTTTGGCAGTTGGTTATGATGGATTCTGTTACATTATAAGGCAAGTGTATGACCACATTTCAGCAAACAATGTATGTATTTATGCAACAGTGTGCACAGAACTGCATCAGACAACAGAATGTTTTTACTTTGACATGAATAATGAAATGGTTTACAGCCAACTATTTTCAATGGCACTTTTTTCTTATTGTTCATGGAGTGGATATAAACATATGCTGTGCAGTTGGTAATAAGCCGCTGTCTACCAGAGAAATTTATATAATGGCATTTCATCTTAATATAAAAATTGGTGAGGAAAGAACATTGATTGAAATACACATCCATTTTTATAGTTAAAGTGGTTAATTGTGATAAGTAATTGGAATTTTGCAAGTGATTTTCTTGTTATGTATGCAGTTTCAAAGCTTATGTTTATGTAATATTTTATTTATATTGATATGAAAGAAAGTTTTATAACTTCTCCTAGTTCAGATGTTGAGAGCTATTAACAACAAAAATATTTAGTTGTTTGTAAATCAAAGAAAGAACCCTTCTCCTGTTTTGAAATATGTAATAGGCACAGATTAGAGTTTTAGTGGTTTAATGTAGTAAAATTGAGTTGAATGGACTGTAAGTATTAACTGATAAGAAATTATAAATATTGGCCCTGCATGTTTGTTTTAAGGGATAAGAGAAGACAGTGTAGATAAAAGAATAAACAAATTTTTTTTTTTGCAAGAATTTCTTGTTATTAGTAGGTTGTGCAGTTGGTAGTGCCTCATTCTTCTCATAACAGTTAACTATTCAAGGCTGCCATCATAACAACATCAGCAACAATGATCATGATAATGTGGGTATTTGTCCATGTTGCTGTCGGCTGTTTTCTTGATGCATATCTGTAGTCATTGCCAATACTTTGCAGTCATAGATAGTTCATTTCACAGTGAGTGTATGTGCCAAGACTTGCTTGGCACATGGACTGGAATTTACTATTCAGTGTTTAAGTAGAGCCCAAAGTTAGGTTTTTGTGAACATGGTAATGAACCTAAAGATACCATGAAAGCAGGAAATTTCTCGGCCAGTTACTAACTTTTGAAGATAGACTATGCATTATGGAGTTATTTGCTAGAAAAATGCTTAATGAGAATTCCAAGGTGCAAGCAGCTTGTTGAAACTCCATATTCTGATATGGAGTACACATATGAAGTCTTATTTGCAGTTTCTTTATACTTGTTCTACTTTTTTCAAGCCTTTCTTCTTAAGATACTGAAGAATTACACGTTTTTATATTAAAATACGGTGCTTTAAATATTGTGTTATGAGATGCCACAGTGATCTCCGAATTACATTATATTTTCAAGACGTTTTCTCTCTAAAAGTCTTGTAATATGTCACTTGGATAAGTGAAATTTCAGGAATGTATTAACAACTTGCATACAGAAGTTTGATTGGAAGATTTGGGAGGTGTAGGCATAGAAGGGAGGATATTAAGATTTATCATAAGGAAACAGGGCATGAGGGTATGTACTGAATTCATAAATCTGGCTGAGGATAGGATCTGATTGTGCATTTTTTTTTGTGAACATGTTACTGAATCTTCAGATTTGATAAAAGGTGGGGAATTTCTTAATTAGCTGAGTGTCTGTTACCTTTACAGAAGGACTCTGCTTCATGGAGTTAGTTCATATCAGCAGCATTGTGAACTGAATGAGGTACTCACCTGAAAATCAAATACAGTTACATTAGGGGTGTAGAATTGTTGCTTATTTTTAAAGATGTTGCTGCCATAGTAGGGCTTTAAATGATGATTTTTGTTTTATACTCAGCCCCTCATTATTTTGCAGTTGTCACCAGAGGGACAACAGCAGCTAAAGGAGCAAGTGTTGCTGGCAGTACAGCAAGAAGAGTCAGACTCAATACGCAAAAAAGTTTGTGATGTGGCAGCAGAGGTGGCCCGTAACCTACTTGATGAAGATGGAAACAACCAGTGGCCAGAATTTCTTCAGTTTCTGTTCCAGTGTGCAAATGCACCAACTCCTGTTCTGAAAGAAAGTGCACTGCGCATGTTCACGTAAGTTTTATATATATGCTTCTTTGTACTTGAGTTGTTTGGGTGATGATAAGCATTCTTGAGAATGGAAGTTTCTGATCTATTATGTGTTTACATGTGTATATAAAATAAACACTTACTGATGACTGTTGGTACAGAAAATGTTTATGATGTTATTCAGTTTTGGCCCCTATATGTGTATCCACAAGGATAATTCGTAGCTTCTTGCATCTGAAGTCACAAGAACCTTCAGTTAATTCTTGTTAATAGGTACTTTGCTTGAGATTCAAGGAATTTGTTTATGGAAGTTTTTTATGTCACAAATCCTTTCAATTAAACAAATACAGAAGTAAAGATATGTATTTTTGCTTTTTTAGGTCTGTTCCTGGTGTTTTTGGAAACCAGCAGTCTCACTATTTGGATCTTATTAAGCAAATGATGCAACAATCCCTTATTGAAGGTGCAGGTTATGAAGTGAGTTAACTGATAATATTGATAGAAAATTACAAACTTTTATAATCATCAGTAACCTACAGAAGATTTCAGGCTTTCACAGCAGTTGAATGCCTCTACTAATGTGGATCCTGGTTTCAGATCATTAATGATTTCCAGAATTCTAAAATTTTGTTAATGTTTTTTAAACTTAGCTGAGTTTAACCTTTTTTCAGGTTCGGTTCCAAGCTGTTCGTGCTGTTACAGCATTTATAATGCTCCATGAGAAGGAAGCTCCAATTCAGAAACACTTTTCTGACTTATTACCTAGTATGGTGCAGGTATTTGAACAACTGTGATTTATAACCAGATATTTATGAGATTTTGCTGTATACCCATAATTTGAACATTGAGCTGTATTTTACATAGTTTGCTAGGTTTAATTTCAGCTTCATGTGAAGTATGATTGTTGGTTGAGAGATAACAATAAGATTCTCATGACTGCTTCTAGAATAGACTTTCTTTGGTGAACCTAAGAAATGTAATGAAAATCTTTTAAACTATGTTATTCGTGCAAAGTTTGTTTTGTGACGTACTTATATGTTTAGTTTAATATACATTTACTTCTACACGAACTTCTTTGTTAGCTTACTGAAAATTTCTGAGCTGTTGTTTAACCCTTTGCATACCAGCCGCCCGATCCGTTGGCCGAATCAGTAGCTGTTAAGCCACGAAATCGGCCGATCTGTCGTTACCTACTAAATCTGATGTTTCGATTACATGAAAGGCTCCCAGATAGCAACACAATGCTGCATCAGATATTTTATACCTTAGTTAATTTTTTGCTCCAGAGATCAATCTTTTATGCCAACGAAAAATATTTTTTTTAAAACAAATGAAATTCATTGAGCTCTGAAGTGGACCTCGTGGTGTGCTCACGATTATTGCTTGTGGATTTTCCTGTACTGTTTGCTAAGATAAGTGTTTAGCCTTGTAATAGTGTTTTTAGTTGACGATTATATAGTACTTACGATAGCTTTTCATTATTTTCCTTAGTTTATTTTATATAGGTTTAGTTTTTTTAGATTTCTCACTTCGGCAATGGCTGGTCCAAGTTCAAGATTGGATGACACCGATATTTTGGATTACAGTGAAACCTCGATGCATCGTTTTCGGCGGGGGT